AGACTACAAGAGATACCAGCAGCTATCTATTTTTAAAAGTTATAGTAAAAATCTTGGTATAATGTTCACTGCCCGTTTTTTTTCAAACAATTTTTAAGCAATATGGAAATGACTACTTTGAGTAGGATATTCTCTGAAGAGCATGACAACTTCTCAAAAACCTAAACCATATTCACTCATACAGTGATCCATTTTGCCAAATAATGATGTATATAAAAAATTAACAAGGTAGTGGACAGTAACTTGTGGGGACTGAACTGCAGACCTTTCATAATTGAGACTCTGGCCACGTACAACAGAAGCTCAGAAAAAGACCTCAGCCAGAAGTGTATTACCACAGAACATTCAAAAGCCGCATTCTGGAATACTACATTCAATACCATTGATGTTGAGTCAAATTTTTTTTCCACTTCAACTGATATTCGCAGAAACTAAAACACACAACTGAAGACTCATTTATCCACAGTCTATAGTTTCTAAAGGCAGCAAAACTGCATCAGCTGTTTTTGGAAGGAATATTCCAATTGAATCTCATAGCAAGGCTGTGATTAATCCTCAACAAATTTGCAGATGACACCAAGCTGAGCGGTGCTGTTGACACGCCTGAGGGACAGGATACAATTCAGAGGGACCTGGACAAGCTCAAGAAGTGGGTCCATATGAACCTCATGAGCTTCACGTGAAGTTCAACAAAGCCAAGTGCAGGGTCCTGCACCTGGGGCAGGGCAACCCCTGGTATCAATGCAGGCTGGGGGATGAAGGGACTGAGAGCAGCGCTGCAACTTTTCAACACATAAAGAGGTCTTATAAGAAAGGTGGGGACAGACTTTTTACCAGGTCCTGTTACAAAAGGACAAGGGCTAATGGCTTTAAACTGAAAGATGGTAGATTCAGACTATCTGTAAGGAAGAAACTTTTTTATGATGAGGGTGGTGAAATACCCTTCAACCTTAAAACCCACCACCCTTACAAATGAATGAGAATTTTCGAACCTTAAAATCGACTACCCTTAAAAATTAACGAGAATTTTAGAAACTTAATTTCTCCATTCTGCCACACATAGAATATAAAAAGATTCTGGTAGTGAAGTAGTGGTCTGGGATATGACCTGTATTCTACCAGCAAATAATGTGTAAGGAGGCTTCCTGAAGGAATGTGCAGTCATAGGACCAGAAGGCGTATGTCCGTCCATTACTCCCTTCTAAAGTATGTCAAAATAGACTCAACGCTTTCAGTCCAAAAGGCAGCACATACAGAATGCAATGAGTAGGTCGAGTGATATAAGAATAATAATATATATAGCGTATATTATTGGTATAAAATATTCACACAAAAATATCACACTACCAAACATTGCATTCTATCACTCCACCAGGGACCAGACGTGTTGCTCCTACACAAATCAAAAAATACATACATATTTTCAGTTAAGTGAACCACAATGGAATGAAGAACCAATAAAGATCACAAGATCATCATGATGTTACTCCGTCATATTTGAATACTGTAATTTTACTCAGTTATAACCACAGTCTATTCATTACCAGTAGGATGGAGAGGTCAGAAAGAAAACCCGAGGTTTTGGTTGGATTTGTAGAACTATTTGTAGAACTAGCATGGAGAAGAGAAGGCTCTGGGGAGACTTTATAGCAGCCTTCCAGTACTTAAAGGAGGCCTACAGGAAAGATGTGCAAGGACTCTTTATAAGGGAGTGTTGTGATAGGATGAGGGGTAAAATTTTTAAACTGAAAGAGGGAAGATTTAGATTAGATATTAGGAAGAAATTCTTTACTGTCAGGGTGGTGAGACACTGAAACAGGTTGCCCAGAGAGGCAGTAGATGCCCCATCCCTGAAAACATTCAAGGTCAGGTTGGACAGGGCTCTGAGCAACCTGATCTAGTTGAAGATGTCCCTGCTCATTGCAGGGGTATTTGACTAGATGACCTTTAAAGGTCCCTTCCAACCCAAACCATTCTATGATTCTATGATTATTTGGGTTATTAGAATGGTGAAAATGGTTAAAATGGTTAAAAGTAAAATTAAAAGGCAATTATCTGAGCTAAGAATCCAGACAAACATTAAGTTTCTGCTTTTCAGAACTGCCTGAAGTTTAAGTTTTTACCTGGTTAATTTTTCCACCTTTATAACATAACAGAACTGTGAAACCACACTAATACATATAAACTGAATGCTACAAGGAGTTAATTTTCTTTTATGTCATTCTAACAGTAATTCCAATAGACAGGTAGTAGTCACCTGACATATTAACAGTTTCAATGATTTTACGAGTTCATGTTGAAATTTGTATAGACTGGTAGGAAAAAAATTGGTTTAGCTATACATACAATTGTGTTTATATTCTCTACTACAAACAACCTGCAACTTTCAACAGAAAACGAAAGTCACCCATCTGAGAAAAACCTGCAGGATCTCTAGTATACAGACAGACAAAAGAGACTTCCTATAATCCCAGCTGTCTCTTACATCTAAAATGATTTTTATGTCATAGTGGGGCCAGAGGTGAGCTGAAATTATCAAGGCAATTGCTTAAAGGAAATGCATCAGTCAAATGCCAGATGTCACACAGAAGAGTCAAAATAACTCTTCTTTTTGTACTTCCTTCAGCAGGTGAGGAAGAAAAATAACTCTCAACCCTCAACATTGTTTCCAGAAACAAGGCTCTGTTCAACTGCTCTTGAAATTTTCTTTGCTTATTTATGAGTGCTTTGTTTAAAGCCAAATTTCCCCTACTCAAGGAAGCTGGGGCTATGGTAAAAAAAAAATAACCCAACCATTTGAATCAGAAGCACACACAGAAACTGGAAAGTTCAATGATGAGACATTCAAACAGGTCTGTGAAGAGTTATCCCAGCTGGACCTGACTGACTCCTGAGTAGATTGTTTTGTGTAATGGCACTCTGCCTCTCAGCGCCCAAGTTCCAGAATGATTAATGGCACAGCTCCTGTGCCAGATACAGCCAGAATACCTTGGCTGTTGGGCTTTATCCACAGCTAAGGCATTCCCAGAAAAAGAGCACAGAATTAGAAGGTGTTTTTTCCACAAGCTTGTTCTTCAGGATTCTGTTTTGATTTGGTAGAATTAATTTGGTCACCTCTCTTCTGCACTCAAGTGAATTCCCCATAAGAAGAAGACAGTGCAGAGAAAGCAGAGCCAGCTCTGCTTTCAGGGACCTCAGAACCCGCTGAACTTACCAGCTTAGGTTTCATGCTATGTACAAACAGGAGAACTGCTTCCAGGCTTTGAACCCATGGAAGAAGCAGCAGGGCAAACACACTGTTTGCACACTTTAAGGGTGAAAGTTGGAGGAAAACAAGATTAACCAAGACTCTTAAATCTATTCTCCTACACATGCTAAATCTCTTTTTTTCTCCCTTACCATGCCCCAAACTCTTCTTATGTTCAGTAAACTGTGACTATCATTAATTTCCTGCCACCTGAGGAAAGGTACCATGTAAATTATGCTATTCTATTCATTCCTTGAAAGCAGGAATAAAGACACTGTGGCTATGGTAAAGCAATTTGCCAGCTGCCAGGTTTAAAAGATCCTCAATATATCCTCTGCAGTCTTTCAGAACAGTAAGCGCAAGAAGATAATTTTATTTGCTAGACAACTACTTAGAAACAGTCAGGAAAACTAATCTTGTTGAGACAAACCTTTGTATACATGTACATGCATATATGTGTGTGTATATATATATGGAATTACTTTGAAGAAAATATTAAATTGAGATGCTATGATAAAAGAAAAAAAGCCTTTTCCTCTTATCTTGGTTTCTTCTTAGCAAAAAGAAAAACAAAGCAGGAAAACGGTAAGAAGGATCGTTAAGTAACAAACTCAGTATTCTGAAGTGACAATTTTATTATTTTATTTAAGATAGAAAAAAAGTTGGGATTTGTACATGCTGAAAGGAGCCTGACCTAGAGAAAGATTGCTAGTAGACTTAAGCTGAACCAAGAACAAGCTTTGAAGTTTGTATTTTTAATATGGTCATTGCTGAATGTAATACAGAAAGGTGCATTATGCAGACATGGCCTTGTAACACAACATGGGAAGATGTTTTGGTTGATAACCAAAAAAGATATAAGCTCCGGAGAACTAGGAAATTAAAGTTACATATATTAGAAGTACAAAGCTATACCTGAGGTGTCAGGAATTTCTGGTAGAAGGTGAAGTAGGAGAGAAAGAGGACTTGTAGTTCATAAACCAAGTAAGAGAAAGCTCTGAGTGTATCAGTGGGCAACAGGATGACTATGTGTGACTAAAGTGATGGCCCTAATAAAGGCCTTCTTAGGATTACCATGAAAAATATGTCCAGTAGTTACGAGGAGGAATTAATGCTGCTTTTCAAAGCTTAGAGTAGATCTCATCTGTGTTATTCTGAACAATTCTAATTATTCCAGGCCACCCCAAAACCACGCTTTTCCTCCTTCCTGAGATGATTAACTACATCTTTCTTAACTCTATTTCCAGTATTTAAACATATTCATGTAGACTATACATTATATAATAATCTTCCGATTCTCTTATTGGCTACTTCTGTGCAATATTCATTGGTAACTGGTAAGAATATACAATATTATCATGTATTGATTTACAGTGCTGCTACATCCTATTTGACTTTATCTGCTCCTTGTTGCGGTCCTTAGTGACTTGCAACTGTTTCACTATATAAAAATAACAGAAGGCTAGATTATAAAATCAAGGCAAATTTGAGGCCGTTTATCCTAAAACTATTTAGTGTATTTTTTCAGTTAGGCATTGATGCACTAAAAAAACCACCAACATTCCAAGCTTTCAGCACCCTCTACAGGCTAACTATTTCGATGCAACTAAACATAAAAGTAAACTCCTGTCATCTATGATAATCACAACAGCACACTTTAATAATTACAGCACTTTTAGAAAAAACAGGTAAATATGCAATTGCAGGCCACAAGGAATCAATTTCACTAACAAAAGAGAAAATAAGTACCCAGTGACTGTGAGAGTCTTTTGAAATGCTTCAAACAAGAAGCAGTGCCAGAATCACTATTTTTATCCAGTCACATCAGCTAAATTCTTACAAAAGTCAACTCCCATATATTTTTTAATGTGATCTGCTCTGTGTGATTCTCTCATTAAGAAAAGGTTTCATGCCATCAGCTACTCAGAAAACGAATAGAACATTTAGCTTACCATCCCTGTTGGACAGCAAACATACAAGGCCGTTAAGACATGTGTCAGTCACTTCGGTGATGTTTGTTGCGCATCTGCCTATAGCCTGAATTGTAGCTGCAGCAAACTGTTTATCTTGGCTTTTCACGTAAGTCTAAGGAAACAGGATTTTCATTAGTCAATACATAAGTCTTGTCAGCCAAAGACTTACCATATTAATCTCCTAAGACAGACATACTGGATAACAAATTCAATCTAGAAAGCTTACATTGCACATTAGAAGTTACACTTTTCACCTCATTGTCACTTTCAGAAGACATTTTCTTGCTGGCTTTGGTCACCCATGGCTATATAAACCTCTGATTTCAAGAAAGCTTGGGGCAGGGGGCAATTACCCAAAAACAGCAATTAGTTTGTGTGCAAGGTTGGAGGAGTTGATGAGCTCTTTCTTCAGAGAGGTTTCAGTTCATTTAACCAGGAACATCTGTGAAACTATGAATAACCTACCTGCCTCAGAACAAGTACCTTTCAGAGAAATACAGCCAGAGAACTGAAGCAATGAAAAGAGATGTCATAAGCAAAGAGGAAAGAAAGAAGGACAGACACTGTTTCACAATATAGGCAGAACACCTTGCTGATACTTATACACATACTGGAGATAAAACTACCTCATCAAATGACTTACAGAAATGAGGTTTGGCAATAAATGCTAATGGAGAAATATTGCTAAAACTAAGACCCTATCATCTAGTGACTTACAGTGTCAGTTGGTAGAATTTGTTTTAAATAATTTGGAACGATTGAGTTTCTTGCTTTTTTTTTTTTTTTTGGTAGCAGAAAGGAGAGTGAGAAACAAAACATTGAAACTCCTTTGCACATATGAAAAGCACCATTATCTATTATGATATGATACCGTTTCATTTCCATTCCGAGAACATTTTACCCTGGAAAAGACTTTAAGTTGAAAAATTTAAGACTAAGAGTCTAGATGAAACATCCAATAATGGCAATTGGCCAACAGAGAGCATTTCATATAAAAAGAACACACTTTTGCACAAACCTGAAATTCTCGCAGCAGAGTTGATATGTTGGCTTCATTAGCTAAATTTGTCAAGATTTCAAGCTACAAGAAAAAACACAGATATTTTATCAAAAGCTACAATAAAGTATTATAAGAAGTACCACATATACGCTACACTTTTACTATATATAAATAAAAGATAATACTACTAAAAACACTGCTTAGAACTCAATAGAGTATACCAGATTTCAGTATAAACTGGTAACAGCATTGCACTCAGGAGAAATATTCTCCTTGCATGTACACGCAAGGTTTTCAAAGCAGGACTCTAGGGCTCAGTGATGCATTTTCTACAAGCTCTAGCTTTAGTGTTACATTGCATACCAAACGGGCTTGAAATACTTCTGGCAGCATGGTTTCCAATGTTATACAACAGGCCTTAGCGTATAAGAACCATGTGACATTGTAAGAAGAGATAATGGAAATCACAACTGCAGCTGGGGAGAAATAAAGTGTCCATTATATTCAGATGAACGGCAATAAAAAGACCTTTAAACTCTGGAAAGAAACAGTTGCATCTATGAGACTCCTCAGATCTTAATCAACATCAACAACAATGGACCCTGAAAGGCCTCTTCTTTTGCTGAACAACAGGATGATATACAACACTTGGCATATATTGTTAAGATGCAATGCTTCCAGGCTTTTTTAACTTTAAAGAAGAAAGAATTCCAATACAATCTGCTTGAGGTAAACTGAAGAAAAAGACTGGCTCTATAAAGGGAAGTCAAGCTTCTGAAATCTGTTGGTGTTTTTTGAGTTGGATGCACACAGACAACGACACTAAATTGATACAGTCCACCTGTAATTCAGAAGCCATTTGATAAGACCAGTCTCCAAAGGCTTTTGAAGATACATATCTGGTATAGCATACAAAGCAATTGGATAAATGAATGAGAGGAATAGGCAGGGAAAAAAAAAAGAGACTACAGTACAGGAAAGCTATCAATGGAATCCCACAAACATCTTCATTGGTCTTTTGCTTTTCAACATACTCATATATGAACTATGAAAGTAATGAGAGCACAGGTGACAAAGTTTTCAGCTGATGCTACACTTTTCAGAGAAATGAAGACAAAGGCTGACTAAGAAACGCTGCATAAAAACTTCAAGTATTAGGTAACTGGTTGATAAAAGGGCAAAAAAAAAAAATCAGAGATAAATGTAAATTAATATCCATAACTGGGTAAAAACCTTATCTTTTGAGAAAATGATAGGCTCTGAGCTGATTACTACTAATTATAACTGAGAATATTTGGTGACAATAGCTAACGTGATGAAAATGTGAGCACAATGCTAAGCAGTGATCAAAAAAGCAAACTTGATGTTGGAAGAGAAACAGAGAACAGAAATCTAAACAGCGCAGCAGATAGACGAATTCCAGGGTGCTCCTAGGTCTTAAATACTGCCACAGGTCTTGTCCTCCTATCTTAAAAGAGACAGGATGGAACTACAGGAGTACGGGGTGGAGAAAAGCACAAGATTTTCTTATTTATGTAACAGGTTGTCCTGAATTTTTCAGCCACCAAGGAAGAACTGAGAAAATGAAAGGAAAAATGACAATTTCTACTTCTCCACCTTTTAACCATTGTATTATCAATTAATATGTGAATTTAAACATATCAACTTTCAATTATTTCAGGAGTGCCTTTTCCTGGATAACACTAAGTCTTACTAGTATTCCTGACAGTTTTCTTAATCATTAAGTGTGGGGAAGATCCTTTTGCCTCCAACTGCCTCAAATTTACTTGGTTTTAATGTTGGATTAATAAAAATCTGACGGGCTGGGCATAGCCATTGTGGACTGCATCACTCTGCCCACGTAAAGAGGGTGCAACATGGATGTAAAATGAAAATAAGGAAAAATAGCATCTCTTTAAGGAACCTGTACTTCCCACTCTAAAGCAAAACAAGAGAAAAGGCACATAATAGCAGTCAACTTTTTATCTATTGTTTTGTCAAGGATTTCACGTCTGTTAAAGACTAAGAATAGAGAAAACACAAAGACAACAGCCTAAAACATGCATTGAGATATGGCCATGAGGAAAACCTAAAGTACTTCTCATGTTGAATGCTGACTTTGAAGGCAATTTGGGACTTTAACACTATCTCATTTTGTCCAGGGAAACAGATTTAAACTCTTTTTTAAGCTAACAGTATCAAAGACCGTGTGATTCCATTTCTCTTCATTTAAGAAGATTATTCTTCCCATGGAAATAGTCAGACTTTAAATGTTTGAACAGCTGATTAGACAAAAACAGTAATGCTCTCTATCACAGAAAGGTACCAAAAGCTGTAGTGGAAAACATAGCGCATCTGCCATCTACAACATGATAACATGTTGTAGACGACAGATGCACAAATACAGGCTGGATGGAGAATGGATTGAGAGCAGCCCACTGAGAGAAGGAGGACTTGGGGGTGTTGGTTGGTGAGAAGCTCAACGTGAGCCAGCAATGTGAGCTTGCAGCCCAGAAGGCCAACTGTATCCTGGGCTGCATTAAAAGAAGAATGGCCAGCAGGTCGACAGAGGTGATTCTGCCCCTCTACTCCACTCTTGTGAGACCCCACCTGGAATACCGCGTCCAGCTCTGGAGCCCTCAACATAAGAAGGACATAAACCAGTTGGAGCGGTCCCAGAAGAGGGCCATGAAGATGATCAGGGCGCTGGAGCACCTCTCCTATGAATACAGGCTGAGACAGTTGAGGTTGTTCAGCCTGGAGAATAATCCGGGAAGACCTTATAGCGGCCTTCATGTATCTGAAGGGAGCCTACAAGAAGGCTGGAGAGGGACTTTTTACAAGGGCATGTAGTGATAGGACAAGGGGTAATGGCTTCAAACTGGAAGAGGGGAGATTTAGGTTAGATATTAGGAAGAAATTTTTCACTATGAGGGTGGTGAAAAACTGGAACAAATTGACCAGGGAAGTTGTGGAAGCTCCATCCCTGGAAGTGTCCAAGGCCAGACTGGATGGGGCTTTGAGCAACCTGGTCTAGTGGAAGATGTCCTTGCCCATGGCAAGGGAGTTGAAACTAGATGATTTTTAAGGTCCCTTCCAAACTAAACCATTCTATGAACAGCAGAACTTTCAGGTACCCTGGCCTGCCTGAAAGCCACAACCCTACACTTCTTCGTAATAACAAGGAACAGCACAGGATGATGTGTATCATATCAGTGCAAGAAAAGTTTACCTTCCTGTTACAAACAGTTTTGTCCAGCAGTATATAGATGACTTGGCTTTTAAACTCACCTTCAGTGTTTTGATCATTGTTGGATCAGTTGATCTAACATAGAAACTCTTCAGATAAGGTTCAAACATTCCCTGAAAAGCAGAACATACTTAAGTAGCTCACCTGCATTTCATATAAAATATGACTTAGAAAATTCTAAATAGGGTGTACCTTTCTCTGAATTGACATAGTGGCAATATTTTGCAGAACAATATACTGCACCTCCCTAGAATATAAAAAGAAAAACAAGAATTATTCTGCAAAATTACAGATACATAAAATAATGCAACAAAGCAAAGAAAGTCCAATTCTATTTGAATCCAAAGTTTGTTATACATTTGACTTGGCACAAACATAGAAGCAAAAAGACTACTGCCAACTGCTACAAGTTCATAATCTGCTTCACAGGAAGATGCATGATGAAACCAGGCTCTCATTTTTAAAAACTTCAATACACACACACAAAAAAATAATCACTGACACCATTGCAACGATGCAATGCTTCTTTCAGCCCTTCCGTCTTTGTTTAAACCAAAAATTGGTTTAAAATATTGCCATTCTGGCATCTCCAGAGATAGCTCACAAAAGCATTACTTTTTGTCCAGCATCTTGAAAATTAAATATCTCAGGATGACACAGCTGAGAACAAAAACACATGGGCTTTGTATGTAGTGTGGAAATAAGCGCATTAGTTACAAGGACAACTAATCTTTGCACAACTAGCAAGAATTGCTATGACATTTTTGGTCTTAAAAAATTTCCTAATAATTCTCAAACAGGACCAAGTTTTCCTGTAACTTAAGAGTACACAATGGCAGGCCTACACATCTATCAAAAAGCAGCACTTAAACATAATACACTTGGTCAAGATACAGACAACAGAATTGTGTAATATTCTAAACACTAAAACATTAAACGTGTTTGGAGGATATTCTCATCATTACTGTATTAGTTTAAAAGCCTCAGCAGGAGTGAGCAAAAAGAAATCTGGGTACTAGTCTAAAGCTTTTAAAATACAGAGTTTCTGCCACCATTTGCTTAAAAACTAAGTAATAATTTAGACAAATTTTTTCTGAACCATCACTGCCCAAATTCTTTCATGATGCAAATCACATCCTAATAGAGAAATCATCATGTCCATTATCTCCTCCTATTCAAAACTGTCTAATAACCCTGTGGTAATTACAGCTGTTGCTTACAAAGAAAACTAATAATACAGAAGTACTTAATATCTTTTAAAGCTATTTTTTGTAATTCTTATATAGGTACATGGAAATAGTCAGCTGCACTTGATGAACCAAGACTGGCAATTGCTATGAAATGCTCTTCCAGGTACTCTCACCCTAACTAGATGATAGTGTATTTGACATTAATTTAAAGGCCATAGGCACATAACTTCAAGGGCAAACAGTAAAAGCTTATTTCAAAGTGGCTGTAATAGCAAAAGCGTTTCACACAGACTGGTAACAGAGAACAGACAAGCCATCCAACATAGGAAAATCATAAAACTAGTGCCATTTTAGGCACCGGTTGAGGTACAGGAAACATGACTTCTCTTTTGATGAAACTGAATATAAATGAGCAATAAACAGCATGCAAAAATAATCCTTTCAACGTGTGAGTAGGAGTTGAGTTCTATACATTACCTGTACATATGCCAAACTTTAGACAATACTTATGTTTGTATAAAGAGAATGGGAAGCATACTGTACTATAAAACCAAACACAAACATAACAGTGACTCATTTTTATCTGAAATAAAAGCATGAATACTCTACCAAGCCAAATTTTACTTCTTCACTAATTTTTAAATAATAGACATTAGCCATGGGTCAACTGCAGAAGTTTACAGAGAAAGAGCTCTATGGTGATTGGGCTCACAAAAGTTAAAGCCCATCTAAGATGAGCAATCTTGTCAGACACAACAAAAGCTTTATTTTAAAAGCTTTTATCTGTCTGATGTGACCAACTTTTAAAAAGTAATCATTTTAACAGCAAAGTTCTAGCCAAAAATACCATGTTTAGTCACAAGGATATTCTGAGAACATCTTAATACTGTGTCTCCTATCACCCCTTCAATGCTTTTTATACAGATACATGAAAGTTCAAAATCTAAAAACTGAGGGGAAAATTTTTTGTGCTGCAAATATTGGCACAATATGCCAAAACTATCAAACACAAAGAAGAAAAAAGTATTATCCATCTTATGAAGTATGTGGCCAGAGAGACACTTTATAGGACAGTAGACAAGGTCACACTGAAGATGATAAAGTCAAAATTAGATGTCCTGAACAAATATAAACTGGTTATTTAAAAACAGTCCAAGGATTCAAAAAAAACATAGGGGATTCGGAAGCATCAAGTGGTATTTTAAAAAATGTTTCTTAGTTTCTCTGTCAACAAGAAGTCTTCAATATAAAGTGAAAAGAAAATAAACAGCTGAAGACTTCTTTAGTGGTAAGCAAGACAGTAAGGAACTCCAATAGAATTAAATATCCAATAACTTCCCATAATTAAAAAAATCAAGAAACTAAGCAAACTAGTTAGCAGTGCCTCTATTTGTATGTGAACTAGGCAGCCATGATTCTTCTTCAACATTTTTGTCACAGACATGGACAGTAAGGTCGAGTGCACCCTCAGCAAGTTTGTTGATGATACCAAGCTGTTGGTGAGGTAGACACGCTGGAGGGGAGGGATGCCATCCAGAGGGACCTGGACAGGCTGAAGAGGTGGGCCGAAGCCAACCTCATGCAGTTCAACAAGGCCAAGTGCAAGGTCCTACATCTGGGTCAGGGCAATCCCAAGCCCAAATACAGGCTTGGCGGGGAATGGCTGGAGAGCAGTCCTGAGGCGAAGGACCTGGGTGTGCTGACTGACCAGAAGCTCAGCATGAGTCCACAATGTGCGATCGCAGCCCAGAAGGCCAACCGTGTCCTGGGCTGCATCAAAAGAAGTGTGGCCAGCAGGTCAAGGGAGGTGATTCTGCCCCTCTACTCCACTCTCTTGAGACCCCACCTGGAGTACTGCATCCAGCTCTGGAGTCCTCAACATAAGAAAGACATGGATCTGCTGGAGCGTGTCCAGAGGAGAGCCACAAGGATGATCCGAGGGCTGGAGCACCTCTCCTATGAGGAGAGGCTGAGAAAGCTGAGGCTGTTCAGCCTGGAGAAGAGGAGGCTCCGGGGAGATCTTATTGCAGCCTTCCAGTACCTGAAGGGGGCCTACAGGAGAGCTGGGGAAGGACTTTTTACTAGGGTGTATAGTGATAGGACGAGGGGGAATGGCTATAAACTGGAAGAGGGCAGGTTTAGATTAAACATTAGGAAGTTTTTCACTTTAAGGGTGGTAAGGCACTGGAACAGGTTGCTCAGAGATGTTGTTGAGGCCCCATCCCTGGAGGTGTTCAAGGCCAGGCTGGATGTGGCCTTGGGCAACCTGATCTAGTGGGAGGTGTCCCTGCCCATGGCAGGGAGTTTGAAACTCTATGATCTTCAAGGTTCTTTCCAACCTAAACCATTCTATGATTCTATGATTCTCAGAATGAAAGTCATAATTACAAATGAAACACAATATTGAATGATCACTGGATGTGATACTGAAAATGATTTTAAAATTAAACTCTACGAGTGCAAAAGTTATATTCTTCTAACTAGGGCTAAACAAGTATGTATGAAAAACTCTCACAAAAAAGTAGACATAACGTAAAGCACAGACTGGACCTACCTATTACTACGGAGTAAACGCACCAATGACTTAGAAACAATACCAGCTTCAGATTTTGGTGCCAAGTGCCAGTAAAGCTGTGCAACTGCCATTACCACCTAAAAGAAGAACATTCAGAACAGCATGTTAATTTCAAATCATCATACATATCTATCACATTGGCTTCAGACCTGCAGAACTACCAACTCACTCTTCTTCAGAAAGCAAAATGCATACCCACATTCTTCGGAATCAAAAAACTGGGGGGAAAACATCAGAAGAAAATATATTTTTATTTCTAAAATAACAACTAATTACATACCTCTCATTCCTCCCAGTATTTATTGTATACAATAATATATAGAAAGACAGAGGAAAAGGGATGAAGAAAGAAATAATGTAGGTAGTTCAAATTGTAAACATACCGATACCATCCTTAATAAGTCAGTATTGCTAACATCAGCTGTGCAAATTAACGAGGAAATGCTGTTTAAAACTTCTGCAATTTTTGTGCTTTTACTTTTATTAAATACAGATTCAGTATTAGAATTGTCTAGGTTGGAAGAGACCTTTAAGATCATTGAGTCCAACCATGAACCTAACACTGCTAAAGCCACTACTAAATCACATCCCGAAGCACCACATCTACCGTCTTTTAAATACCTGCAGGGATGGCAATTCCACCACTTTCCTGGTGAAGGTAATGGGTATTATTACCTATTATTTAGTTTTCACTTAAAATCTTTCATTCCATTATTCTATTATGCCATTTATAAAATGACAGCTGCCTTTATGGGCAAATTCTGAAGTCTCAAATCCAACAGTAAGTAAAAACTACGGGGTTGGATACCAACAGCCTGGCTAGCAAAAAGCAGAAGACTGAGATATCACAGAATGATGGGGGTTGGAAGGGACCTCTGGAGATCGTCTAGTCCAACCCCCCACCAGAGCAGGTTCACCTACAGCGACTTGCACAGGATGGCATCCAGGTGGGTTCTGAATGTCTCCAGAGTGGGAAACTCCACCACCTCTCTGGGCAGCCTGTGCCAGTGCTCTGCCACCCTCAAAGTAAAGAAGTTCCTCCTCATGTTTAGATGGAACTTCCTATGTTCAAGTCTGTACCCATTATGTCTTGTCCTGTCACTCGGTACCACTGAAAAAAGACTGGTCCCATCCCCCTGGCACCCTCCCCTTTAGTATTTATAAGCATTGCTAAGATATCCCTTCAGTCTTCTTTTCTCTAGACTAAAAAGACTCAAGTCCCTCAGCCTTTCCTCATAAGAAAGATGCCCCAGTCCCCTAATCATATTTATAGCCCTTTGCTGTACTCTTTCCAGCAGTTCCCTGTCCTTCTTGAGACAGGGAGCCCAGAACAGGACACGGTACTCCAGATGCGGCCACACCAGGGCAGAGTAGAGGGGGAGGATAACTTCCCTTGACCTGCTGGCCGCACTCTTCTTGATGCACCCCAGGATGCCACTGGCCTTCCTGGCCACAAGGGCACACTTCTGGCTCCTGAGGGCTGGCCTGAAAAGGAAAGACTGAAGCAAAGAAGGCATTCAGTAACTCTGCCTCCTCTGCATCATCTCTCACCATGGCACCTGTCTCGTTCAACAGCAGGCCCACATTTTCTCTAGTTTTCCTTTTGCCTCCGATGTACTTGAAGAAATCCTTCCTGTTGACCTTGACATCCCTTGTCAGATTTCATTCCAAGGAGGCCTTGGCTTTCCTTGTTTCATCCCTGCATACCCTGACAGCATTCTTATACTCTTCCCAAGCGGTCAGTCCTTTCTTCCACATACTGTAAACTTCCTTCTTCCACTTAAGCTTTTTCAGAAGCTCCCTGCTCAGCCATGCAGGTCTCCTGCTTCCCTTGCCTGATTTCTTGCTCTTGCTGATGCATCGATCCTGAGCTTGGAGAAAGCGATACTTGAATATCAACCAGCTCTCTTGAGTGCTCTTAACCTCTACAGCCCTAACCCATGGGATTTCTCCAAGCAGTTTCTTGAAGAGATCAAAGTCAGCCCTCCTGAAGTCCAAGGTTGCAATCCTACTTGTCGTTTTATGCATACTACGCTGAATCCTGAACTCTGTCTTCTCATAATCACAATATAACTACATATAAGTAACTTAAAACCCATATTTTTTTTTTCCCAAGCTTGCTCATAAGTAAGAGACAAATGATGAACTTTATGCTAATGAATAAGTCATGTCACAGTCTTCCCTACAATACTGTCATGGTCAACTTTCTGTTCAAAACAAAACAAATCATAAAAAGGTGACTCCAAGTAAAGCCATCATTATGACACTTGAGTCAGTATCTTAAATATTAGTACCAATGAAACAAAAATTATTAAACAATTAAAAAAATTATTAAAAACATCTGAAAAGAGGAAATAACTGCAAGATTTTTAGAAGATCACTAGAGTAAATTGCTATTACTCACAAAAATCTAAGGTCAAAGAGAAAGCAACTAATTTAATTGCTGGTAAATTCTGTGAATGGTACAAAAATTGGTGTAATAGCAATTCAAAGCAGCACAATTTCACTTCACAAACTGCCCTTACACATCTCAGTTAACCTTAATATCAGAAAGTTATAGATCGTAAATGTGAGAATCAATAACATATTTAACAGATATAAAGAAAATTATTTATGGAATGTGGAAGATAAGGAACTGAACCTGCTCTCAGTGCAGTGTGATGGCAAACATTTAACATACTTGTTCTTTGCATGAGATGAGGAAGTATTGTACAGACATTGAGCAGTAATTTTAGCAAAAGGCTGTGTTCTAACAGAATTATTATTGTAAAACTGTATTAAATTTGTTTCCAAATTCTTCTGGCATATTATAAGTGGTTTTGAAAAGAATTAGACATTAGTCAGAATCTAGAAATATGTTCCGGGGAGAAACAAAAACCTGGTCTGTTTAGCTTATTAAGAACAGCTTAGGAGGTGACATAATCATGGTGCAGTAATTGTTTTTACAATGACATGAATATTCATTATCACTGGAATTCTTTTCCCAAAGACATCTAGTCTTGAATAATAGGACAAACTGAGATTAGAAATAAAGTTCTGTGATACGAGTAATGCCACGATGATTCACCATCAGCATGGCTTCTTCCGGTTGTAAGTCTACCTGCATCTTAAAATCTCATAGAAATACTGCAGACCATACTATCCTCATAATCTCGTACCTATCGTGGGACCCTGCCAAAGCACCAACACTAAGACTGACAAAGAATTTAGGCATATAATTGTCTACTTTTAAAATGTGAGACTCAAAGGAAAGCACAACTTACTGAATCAATAACAACTATGATTTTCTTTGTGAATCTGTACCACCAAAACTGATATTGTGCCATCCTAGTTGCTGAGAACTTAAGCATTAAAAGCTAGGTATTGTGTAGTCATCACATGCTATAGCAGTTGGATTCTCATATTTTCTCTAACATTTTGTTTGTCCTTAATCTTTGGAGCACGTATCACACTCAGGTCAGGTGTTTAACTTAGAAGCTAAGTTAATTTCAAAAAAAGAAAGAACAACTGTACTTCTGCTATAAGTTACTAGACAGTATTATCACCACTTTTCAAGAGGTGTAGATTTTACTTCTGAATCTTTTAGATTTTCTAGAAGCATAGATATTTATTAGTTTAACATTTTAATCAAAAAGGAATTTGTCATACAGCAGCATTTCGGCTTTGAAGCAAGGGCTTTGTATTTCGTAACAGCAGCCTGTGATCTGGGTCCATAGTATAGGTGTTTTTCATCTTCTGATCCTTTTCTTTCTGTTCTTCATCAGATTCATAGAAATTATTTTCATTATATTCTTCAACCACCTCATCATCCTACCAAAAGACAAAATGACAAACACATGTACAGAATATTTGAATCAACCAGTTTTAGTCATTAAGGAAGTAACATACAACACCACAATTTCACAAGATTTATACACTTTTTAAAAATATAGCTATTGGCTCTTCTACCCCAGTTTGCTCAAAGCAGTAAATGTATCGACATGAAAAATAGCTTAACAATATATGCAAAAATGTCCTTAGAAATAAGATGAACTGCTAAATGAAATATCTTCATTAATATTCTAGAAACTAGATTAGGTATGAATACTGGTCTTTGGACTTAAAGCCTATGATCCAAACTTGACATTTCTGAAAACAGTCAGTTGTTTAAAATTGTCTCTTTTTTGAAAACTTAATGCAAATCATATGCATTCTTCCCTCTCTAGCAGTATACAAATTATCTGTGAAAACAGCAAATCTTGAAAGCACAGGTTTCTTTCTCAAGGAATTACATGAGAAAAAGATTATGTATCCTGATCCTGGCCTCCTCTGATGAAGTACAAATCCTTGAACTGTTTAAAGTTATGAGTTATCAGCATAACATCACTTAAAAAAAACAATACAACACACTGAAATAATTCATTAAAGTTTGAGATATTAGTAAGGCAGGCCTTTCTTTTACTCCAGAAGGCTAAATAGAAGAAAATAATTCATTGAAGTTTGAAATATTAGTAAGTAAGGCCTTTCTTTTACTCCAGAAGGCTAAATAAAAGAACATAAAGGAATATATCCAATTATGCAAACATGATAAATTAAAACCAATCTTAAGATTTCTGATGTGGCTCAAAAAATGGATGAAGAATAGATTTAAAGTGTTTAATTATGCTTACATTTAATTAGCATTAAAAAGTCCACAAACTTAGAAAACATAAGATGGAAAGAGACAGGATTAGATTAAAACAGAATGTACAGGTTATCAATATTGAGAGTACTCAACATTACAAAAGTTTTTTTAAAAAAAAGCTACTGACTTCTGCAACTTGTTATATCCAAGTGTGTGCCCTTGCTCTCCTGAATTCTTCCATCTCACTTTGTCACCAGAACATCCAACTACGACAAAAAGCATTACTGTGGCTAGCTGCACCTATTCATATTACAATGGGCTGGCTCGTACCAAACACCAACCATACCAATAGCTCTGCTTGTCTTTCTCTCAAGCCTCTTTCAACTATTTTAGGGAATATCCAACTCCACACAACAGTTTTAAGAGAATTATTTAAGTCATATACGCAATTGCTGATTTTTTAAAAGACATAATTACTTTTGAGACAAATGTATCTTTTTAATTCTAGCTGGAAGTAGCAAAGTGATCAAAAGTGAATGGAAGAATAGCTAGAAAGGAAAATACAGATTTACTTAATGGGTCTTCAGAAAACTAGGCAAGGGTAACTTCAAAGCTTTGTTGCATGCCTTTGTCAAAACTCATGTGTGGTGAAAGAGCCCATAAAAGGGTCTTCAATATAGACAGAGGGACAGGGCAAAGGAAGGAAGAATTGCCAATAAATCAAAGTTGTCATTTCATTGGTTTTTATTACAATTTGAAAGGACACTGAAAATAAAGCTTCCTTTCATGTTTCTTCTCATTTTTATTACTTGATGCCAACAGTGCTCTCAGTGTTTTACAGAACCCCTAGCAGGTTCTTAATATTTGTTATGCAACAATAACTGAAGTGATTTAGTTTTTTTACTTCTCTGTCCATACATCTTTGTGGCAATCACCCTTCTAAACTGAAAACTCAAGATGCTAAATCAAGAGCACTGGTAACCAAATTCCTTGCCTTTTCTACAGGACAGGCAACTTGAAAGCAAAATTCCTGATGCAAGTGCATCTCAACCCTGCACTGAAGAAACTTTCTCTAACAGGAGGAGGATAATTCAGCCTTCATCGATTTGGTCTTCAGTATCCCTGCCTTGACTGCTAACAGGCACTCACATCAGTACGGTTGAATTCAATAGGAATACAGAGTTGGAAATTTTATTTAACTCATTAATCACTGCTGTAAAGAAACAGCTTGAGCTTTCTCATTTCTGACTTTTTAAAAGATTGTTGGTTAGAAACATACTTGGAGCACAGTTCCACATAATTATAAAGCAACTTATGCCTCTTATGAAAAGATTTTTAATTTAAATCCCGTTAGAGTCTTTATACTGAATCAATTTCTTCATACCCCCCCAGCAGAAGTATTAATGTGGTCTTTTCTCATAGTGATGTATTTTATTGCAATCTTAGAATATTCCTCTTCCCCCAAATCTGTTGAGAACTGATATGAAATAATTATTTTCCAGACAAAGGATGATGATGACACACAGGGAAATAAGCTTAATGAACTGAAATTCATTAAAATCAAGTTTATGAAGTTCAAATTAGTCAGAACTTGTAGTCACAAGGACATCACTAAGACAAAGAGAATATGTAATACTGCAAGGTTTGCACATTACCATGGAAAGGAAAGCAAAGTATTATGTAAAAGAGCCACAAGACTGAAAGATAAAAACCTGCAAGCTTCTTGGTGTGCAAGAATTGTTGTTTCAAATTCTATTAATCATCCCAGACATGGAAAGCAATTACCAGGAAACATGAAAACATTCAAGGACTCACAACCCTTTAAGCCTCAACCTGAACTGCTGACTATCTTCACTGCCAAAAAGAGACAACTGTACATTTAGAATCATAGAATCATTTAGGTTTGAAAAGATCCTCAAGATCACTGAGTCCAATCGTTTACCTAACAGTGCCAAGTTCACCACTATACCACACTCTAAGAACCTCATCTACAAGTCCTTTAAATACCTCCAGGGATGGTGACTCAACCCCTTCTCTGGGCAGCCTGTTCCAACACTTGACAACTTTTTTGGTGAAGACATTTTTCCTAGTAGCCAATCTAAAACCCCCCTGGTGCAACTTGAGGCCATTTCCTCTGGTCCTATCACTTGACACCCACCTCACTAAAACCTCCTTTCAGGTAATTGTTGAGAGTGGGAAGGTCTCCCCTCAGCCTCCTCTTCTCCAGGCTAAACAACCCCAGTTACCTCAGCCACCCCTCATAAAACTTGTGCTTGAGACGATTAACCAGCTCCATCGCTCTTCTTTGGACATGTTCCGGCACCTCAATGTCTTTTACAACTTGCAATGAGGGGCCCAAAACTGAACATACTATTCTAGGTGGGGCCTCACCAGCACTGAGCACAGGGGGCAAGTGCAGGACCTGGCACTTGGCCTTGTTGAACCTCATACAGTTGGCCTCAGCCCATCGATCCAGCCTGTCCAGATCCCTTTGTAGAGCCTTCCTACCCTCAAGCAGATCAACACTCCTGCCCAACTTGATGTTGTCTGCAAACTTACTGAGGGTGCACTCAGTCTCCCAATCCACATCATTGACAAGGATATTAAACAAAATTGGTCCCAATACTGAGCCCTCAGGAACACCACTTGTGACTGACCACCAAGTGGATTTGAATGCATTCACCACAACTCTTTGGGCCCGGCCTTCCAGCCAGTTTTTTACCCAGCAAAGAGTATGCCCATCCAAGACATCAGCAGCCAGTTTCTCCAGGAGAACGCTGTCAGAAACAGTGTGAAAGTCCAGATAACCAACACCCACAACCTTCCCCTCATCCACTACGTTGGTCATGTCACCATAGAAGGAGATCAGGTTAGTCAAGCAGAACCTGCCTTTCATAAACCCATGCTGACTGGGCCCTGATCACCTGGTTGTCCTATACATGCCGTGTGATGGCACTCAAGATGTGCAACATTCTCTGGCACCAAGGTCAGACTGACAGAACTCTGTCTCAAGGGACTCTGTCCACCAGGTCCCTAAACAGGCCAAAGTCTGTCCTTTGGAAGTCCAAGGTAGCAGTTCTGCTGACCCCCCTCCTTACTTCTCCGAGAATTGAAAATATCATTTCATGATCACTGTGCCCAAGATGGCCTCCAACCATCACATCACCCACCAGTCCTTCTCTGTTCATAAACAACAAGTCCAGCAGGCACTTTCCCTGCTTGGTTCACTCACCAGCTGTGTCAGGAAGTTATCTTCCCCACACTCCAGGAACTTCCTAGACTGTCTCCTCTCTGCTGTATTTGGTCTGTTTTCGCATGCACCAAGTTACTTTTATAACTTCTGCTATCACAAACAAGCCTTATTTCTTGATAACACAGAGTACCAGTATTCTGTTAAATAGTTTGGGGCCAAGGCATAAAACCTGAAACTGACCACTTCAAGCTGACTGAGGTACAATAAATTACAGCCAAGAATTCAGATCACCAAGTTGAAATGTCATCTTAGAGACCTAGCTGAATTGTTGCTCTGTCTGTCCCCAGATAAACTTTGTAGTGCAAGTATTGAAGCTTGTACAAAAGGAAGAGACTGGGGATGACTATTAATTCTCCTCTGAAGTGGCACAGAGCTAGCTTCGACGTGGCAAGCACAACCAAAGCCTCTTGGCAGTGTAACAAAGTGGGAAAGCCTTGTGCAGAGATTTAAACAAGAGCCTCCATGCCCAGCAACAGTGCTGGTGGCGTCCAGCTATTCTTATAGCAGCCAGAACAGCATGCCCCTAATGCTAGGTGTACATCTTTGACTCCAGTCAGGAAAGAAAGTATGAAAAGGGTATAATGGAGAAAGCAGCACTGCTAACACTCTAACATTTTTACTGCCAGGATAAGACTGAAAATAAGACTCTTGCCTTTGGGGGATGAAGGTCTTCCTGTTTTAACTATTAATATTGCATCAACAAATATCAGCTTCCATAGATAATTTCCTGCGCACTTATTCTCCAGTTCTCAGTATCTATATGGCACCTACATAAGCTGGGGGAGATGCTTCTTAATAAGTCCTGGAAGAAATGCCAGATATTGGTGGCACTCAAATTTTACTTTCCCAGATTTCTAATTAGACCTCAAACTGATAACAACTAGTATGTATTAGCAGCTCTATCAGAAAAAAACCCCAACTATTCTGATCCTTTTTGACAATGGAGAGAGCCTG